AACAACGGTTACCATGCAGGCAGGAGCCGAAATCTTTCTTTGGACTTTGCCATCGTCACTCATTTGAGAATTCAGAATGCGCTGTTTCTCGTTTTGCAGCTCTCTCTGTCGCTTTGCGTACTTGTTTTTGTAATATTCCATACTCTGTAGATTCTTCTGCTGTTCAAAGCTCATGGCGCCCATGGTGGCCTTCATTTTGTTTTCCGCAACGACGTTGCGAGCCATGGCTTCTTTCATGGTAATGGAAAGTTTGTCGTCCTTTAGTTTGTTCATCTTAAGTTCAACTGCTTTTCTCAAGTTCTCGTCTTATGTTCAATTTTTCTCGCTCAAGTAAACGTACAATAAACAAATGTTTAACTCTGTAGCTTCGATGCTCGACTGCATGTGTTCTCTAGATGACAATAACATTTTTCTGTACTTGAATTAGCATCATAAAAAGAACTAGTGCTCATTTTAATCCCGCATGGGAAAACATGTTTTTCTGTGACGTTCCCAAAGGAAAAAGGGATTGTTGTTGACATCGACGTGCAAACGATTACTTTAAGAACACAATTGTTTTCGTAATTTTTTCAAATCTGGACTTTGCAAAAAAACTGATTGAAGGTAAACCATTAGTAAATCGTTATCTTGTTAGACACTTACAAATTCATTACATTAATAACTAGCTCTTCACTTGAAGAGGGAAACTTTACTACATTTTAGTTTCTATGACGACAGCCCAGAGAAAGCAGTGTCATAATCACACACTCTATTGTTGTTCGAGTCAATTTAATACCAATTGCCTGCTTCGTTAATGAGCGAAATGACAATTGGTACACTTTTTAAATAAAAAAAAATGCAGACACAAGTTATGAAACTACGAAAAAACAACATAAACAGTAGAACTGCGTTTTTATTTGCTTCAGAGTAGACTGTTTCTCGGGGGTACTACCTTTTAGGGACCTTAAGGGAGACCCCACTCGAAAGGGGTCCTTTCTCAGGCCGGAGGTTTCAGTGGGTAGGATTTTCACGAGTTGAAGTATAGAATGGGTAGGAAATATTTAAAAAGGGCCTTCAGAATTTTTTTTAATATCTCGCACAGATATATTACTTCTAAGGAGAAGCGAAGGCCTTTGGGGTTGGTGGGGGAGGGGGTTGAAGTTTACTATTTGGCGATTTTTTAAGGTAGAAATTTTAAAGCGGAGCAGAAACAAAGTACTATGGGTATGTGGAAGGAGGTACCATTTTCTATGGAAGATGTATGGAAGGGTTGCCGTGACCTTTTCTGTCAAAGAAAGGCCCAACTTGTTGGGTGCGTGGCCATACAGTACTGACCCTCCGGCCCAAAGTCACAGATTCTCATTTAGGCACTGACAGTTCTTTCTTCGTAGTGCCAAATGATTTGCCCCTGATCAAAGGTTGAATTTGTTACACAAGACACTTTTCACCTTAAAAACCGGTGTTTAATTCAGTTCAGATATACTCTTCTGGTGCCGTGTACACATTACCAATGTACGACAGCGTACTATTAAGTCAATAAATTAGTTACATGTAAAAACAGCGTCTCATTTCCAACTTCAACCATAACCACGACTGCACGGTCCAGTGAATCAAGTGACGTTTCAGTAAACCCACGGACTGCACGGCGTATGCTGAAGCGACCGCTTTCGGATAACCCGTGTGTGCTCCCGCTGGGTTTTGATTGGAGGATCAGAATCGGAAAACGTTCCGAATACTTCCACGAAACGAAGATTTACCAAACACGGCACTTGTTTGCAAGTTTGTCCGCAAAAACCTCATACGGTTGTTGTAATGTCTAAAAAAATATTATCACTCTTTTCTAGGCCCAGTATAACTTACATGACCGACAGTTCTATTAACAACTCGTGAAATGGCTATGAAACCCGTCCTATCACTACTTTGTCTTTCTATTACAACCTTTTAACACCACTTGCATGACAACACCACAACGCAACACACAATTCACTCGTGGTTTCGATTTGAAGTTTCCATGTAGGTACAAAGCACTTAATAAATTCATCTGTATTAATATTTTTAGTTAATATCTTTTTTCAGAGATGCTCGTATTCGGGTGTGTAATGTTGGATAAGGAAGATTGTTATTCAAGAATGTGGTTTGAGGCATTATTACTGCTTTTGATTTTGTTGTCTGAAGTCTTTCATGAAATCCACAAGTGTCTTGACGTCATCAAGTTTCACGGCATTGTACATTGACACTCTTATTCCTCCCACTGACCTGAAAAGAAAACACAGTGCTGTGTCAGTCGCAGAAATGCAATCCGTAAGAGTTTTTCATAACAGTTTTTCAATTAAGTACTTTTTTCAGTCTGGGCATGTCCGTCCTTTCACTCTGGACTGGAACCACCTTGTATGGGTATGACAATGTGATTGTAGTAATTATCTGAAACACCTAACACAGCTAACTCACAAATACTTCAGAAAGCTCAAAATCTTATTGTCTACTCTCAATATTTTCTAACAAACAAATGAGGAAAATCAAGGAAAAGGTTGACTAAGAGGCTACTGTCAATTCTCAGAGCCCGAGTATTCAAAGACATGTAAGTTACCCAGCCAGAAGAAATAGTTACAGAGTAAGTAAGGTCAAGTCAGCATACGAGCCAAGTGACCCACAAGGCCAGCACTTATCTCCATTTCTGTAGCATGAAATGACTTGGAGTATTTCTACTCCCCCCTGGAGTGGATGTTAGTCGATCATAGGGTTATTCCCCCCAGCATTAAATTAGTGGGACCCCTATTATACACCTGCTGGGTGGAGAGAGGCACTGTGAGAGTAAGGAACACAACACCATGTCCCTGGCAAGGGCTTGAACTTGGACCGCTTGATCCAGAGGCAACACATTAACATGACTTCACCACACCTCCTAATTACAGAGTCACCTGGCATTAAGCCTTTACAGCTAATACTACAACACTAGTAGTAGTGCACTACAAACAAACAGCAAGCAAACTGACCTGTGACCCTTCAGCTGGATCATGTCTTTGGCAGCTGCTTCTTCAATGAATTTTTTTTCCAGCTCTTGGTCTCCTTCAGGGCTAGCAATTCTGAAAGGAGCATTCATTCTTGACCGGCTCTTCTTTTCCACTGTGCCACTGTCATAAAATATTGACAGAATTAATTTAAGCTTTACTTTTCAAAGTAGCAAGTGTTGGCAAAGTTCATTCCAACAAGCATCGGCACTAGAAAAAAACTTCTTACCAGTAGAAGCCATTTGAAGAGTCAATGAGTTCATACACAAGGTCTGACTTCATTTGGTTAATTCTGTTGATTTCTGCACAAAACAGTAAGAGAGAAATACACAATTTAAATCCATTTGTCTCTGTTATACAAAGTTAATTTAACAAAAAAAATCTCACAGAAGTATCCAAGAGATTTTGCAAAAATTCAACACACCAAATCTCAAATTATCTTTAATAGGTAACTGATAATACTGTAAGTACCTTGAATTCCTCCATTTCTTTTCAGCCACTTGAACACCAGTCCCATCATGTAGATACTATAAGTAGGAGGTGTGTTGTACAGCGAGTTCATTCCAGCCTGGATCTGTTCCAGAAAAAGATATCTATTTCACAACACTGATGTAAGACATACATGTACATGTATCATTAGACCAGTACAGAGGTCTCTGGAAGACACACGACACCATTCAGTCATTCTCGGTGCATCCTCTTCTGAGTGGCAGAATATGTTCTTTTCTCTGCTTTTAAGTTCTATAGAAATTACATTCACTACCCAGACTTAGAAAGATTTGAAATGTAATTTAACAATATTGATTTATGATATATAACAAAATTTAAACAAAATAAGTACAAACTCCGACAGGATCCATCATTGTTTGCTCCTCTCACCAACCAAAATTTGTCTTTAAATAAGTGATGGTACGTGATATAATTTACCTCTTGTATTGAGACATAAAGTGAGAAATTAAATACCTTATAGTCAAAAACAACAGGGCACTGTGGTGAAGGGTTAGTTATCAGGTCTTCTCGCACTGAAAATTTCAAAGATGTAAAGTTACAAACTTGTACAAAATATTAGTATTTAAACAAGACCATTGTAACCTTCTTGACAAACAAACAATAACATTTAACTTTTTCATGGAGCTAGGCTCAAAGAGGATAAAACCTAATAACAGGGGATTATCATGTTACTGTACGGCCAAACTTTTCAGAACTCATGTATATAAATTATGACAAAAAATGTGTCCAGCGCACGTGACGAATACATGCAGGTGTGATGATTCCTATCAAAGTAAATGGGAAGGAGTGCAATATTTACATACCAATAACCACGGTAACTCCAGCGCAGCCGATATTCTTTTGAGCTCCACCATAGATCAGTCCAAACTAAGATAAAACATGAACACATGACATTAACAAAACTGTAATCTGTCTTCATGTAAAAGGTTTCTCTGAGCTTGTCCTGAACTCTTCCTTCCTCTGAGCTCTTATTAGCTGAAATTAGATTACATTTGTTTAAACTAAGACAGATAAATCAGTTTTATATGATCAAACTACACAGGAGGCTGATTCTCCCAAAAGAAATGCAAGCTTTTTCAGCATTTTAGAAACAGGTGCACACAGCTTTATGCTTACCTTACTGACATCAACAGGTCTTGACAAGATATTTGAGGACATGTCACAGACGAGCGGTACTCCGTTTGTCTCCGGTACAAAATCAAACTCCACTCCTATAAACATCACAGAAAAAACATCACCCTTTATGGATACTCATTTTTGAAGTTATTTTAAAATATTGCTCTATTAATGTTTAAAAAATAGCCCCAAAAAAACTATGCATGCTGATTGGTTTAAAATTGTGTTTCTATAACTCGAGAGAAACACAGAACTAGCACAAGGTGTTGACATAATGATGGCACAAGCAGAGAGAATTTACATTTTGATGATCAAAGTAAACAAGGTGTTTCCTTTTTTCACCACAGAATTTTCTAAAAGCAATAGTACATGTTCTCTGAGATTGTAAAATGTACTCATTAATTCAGTTGTTTTACTGCAAGAGAGTTTTAATAAACTACTTTACTTTACTACTAAATCTTATCTAGTTAGCATTGTACCAAGAACGCCATTCTCTGATTGGCCACGCTACTCTCTATTCTGTGATAGATAGTAAGTAGCATAGCAGTGTGCTCTTGTTAACAAAATGACAGCCGCTTCTTGGCGTTTTCAAAGTGTCTGATAAAGTTTTGGAAGACTAGTAGATTTATACTAAAACAATTAGATTATTCTCTTTTTATTCCACTCTTGATAAAAACATGATACATGTTTTCTATTTCCTAAATAACTANACCATAGATCAGTCCAAACTAAGATAAAACATGAACACATGACATTAACAAAACTGTAATCTGTCTTCATATAAAAGGTTTCTCTGAGCTTGTCCTGAACTCTTCCTTCCTCTGAGCTCTTATTAGCTGAAATTAGATTGCATTTGTTTAAACTAAGACAGATAAATCAGTTTTATATGATCAAACTACACAGGAGGCTGATTCTCCCAAAAGAAATGCAAGCTTTTTCAGCATTTTAGAAACAGGTGCACACAGCTTTATGCTTACCTTACTGACATCAACAGGTCTTGACAAGATATTTGAGGACATGTCACAGACAAGCGGTACTCCATTTGTCTCCGGTACAAAATCAAACTCCACTCCTATAAACATCACAGAAAGAAACATCACCCTTTATGGCTACTCATTTTTGAAGTTATTTTAAAATATTGCTATATTAATGTTTAAAAATAGCCCCCAAAAAACTATGAATGCTGATTGGTTTAAAATCATGTTTCTATAACTCAAGAGAAACACAGAACTAGCACAAGCTGTTGACATAATGATGGCACAAGCAAAGAGAATTTACATTTTGATGATCAAAGTAAACAAGGTGTTTCCTTTTTTCACCAAAGAATTTTCTAAAAGCAGTAGTACATGTTCTTTGTGTTTCTATCAGGTCTAAGTATAAATCTTATCTAGTTAGCATTCTACCAAGAATGCCATTCTCTGATTGGCCATGCTACTCACTATTCTGTGATAGATAGTAGGTAGCATAGCAGTGTGCTCTTGTTAACAAAATGATGGCTGCTTCTTGGCATTTCCAAAGTGTCTGATAAAGTTTTGGAAGACTAGTAGATTTATACTAAAACAATTAGATTATTCTCTTTTTATTCCACTCTTGATAAAAACATGGTACATGTTTTCTATTTCCTAAATAACTAGTTGATGATATTTTTCAAACTATATTACTAAATTTATAAGCTGTGAAAATGTTTATTAGATTTATGGGCACAGAATTGGATAATAAAACTGGTTGAACAGTCAGACATACCGTGAATTGTTTCATTGGCACAATAGTAGACATACGAAGCATTTGGATTTAAATTCCACTCCTCCTGCGGGGGAATTCCTTGAACAAAGAAAAAACATATTGATCAGGCATCATGTCAATCTAACTCAAGCAGTCAAGCAAATTTAAGATATAAATACAATTGAATCCTTACAAAATTTGCAATCTTGAGCATAGAATCTAAATAATATTATGAATAAAATCATTTTATTGTAGTTTTATCTGCGAACAGATTATGAAAAAATATATTGCAAGGGAACGATGTAATTGTTAGTTACCACAGTGACAGAAATTAAAAATATATTTTCAAAGGTTTCCATAGAATTATGAATGCATTTGCAAATATGTCAAGAAAAACCTGTCTCCAAGTTCTCCCACACATCTGTTGATGTGTTACCATAACTTGATAAAATCCTTTTCCGATGTGTTAAAAAAACCTGTCTCCAAGTTCACCCACACATCCACTGATCAATATGTTACCATAACTGGATAAAGTCTTTTTTCGATATGTCAAAAGTAAACTTTGCTACGTTATATTTTTAAATGCAATTTTTATTAGTTTTATTTTTAGTTTTAGTTTTTATTATCATTTTTTTTTTTGTTTCAGAGTTAGCATGATCTCTTCTACATGTTGCTGATGAAATAATATTTGGAATTAGATTTAGAAACCTGTCTCCAAGTTCACCCACACATCCACTGATGTGTTACCATAACTGGATAAAATCCTTTTTCAATATGTCAAAAGAACCTGTCTCCAATTTCTCCCACACATTTGCTGATTTGTTACCATGACTTGCCTTGATAAAAAACTTTTTCTATTGTACATAATATTACATGACTTGTATATTCTATATTCTGTCTACATAGGATAAAAGTCCAACAATACTCACTGTTGTATTTGTCCAGCTTCTTGAAAACCTGATTTACCTTAACAAATTTCTCTGCCTGAGCAAATGAGAAGACAAAATATTGAACAG